GCGTCAGTGATACCCGCAGCTTTATTCTAGTGTATATACATATCAAAAACAGACATGTACAACAAGGTACCAGCAAAGGAAATAAAACGTGAGGAGATACAGCCATACTCGTCGCTGTAACTATTACTTCATTGTCCTTTATTTTATACAACATTATTTCATGTAAGCCCTAAAACCCTGACCCTTTAAGCGCAAGTATAATATGGTTATCCAAGGATAGTAGCGTCACGCACAAGTTAGAAGAGCCTGAGTGTCTGGGTGTATACGTGTGTAAATCACCGTTTCAGTTCATTGATATTACGGTACTTAACAACGACAGGTCTATGTGCCAGCGGTTGATGGAGTGCAGAATAAGGATGCAGACGAAAACACTGCGACTGACCAAATGGAGGGCCAGCCCACGGTCCAGGTATGTGTGGGTGTATGTTGGTGTGTGTCAGTGAGTGAGGGTAGGTGAGTGGGTGTTGTAGGTGGGTATAAGCAGGTATGGGTAGGTATAAGTGGGTGTAGGTGTAGGTGGGTACCAACAGGCATTGGTAGGTATAAGTGGGTGGGTGAGGGTATGTCGGCATATCAGAATATTTAAATAGGCGCGCATACCTACATGCCCGTGTGTGAGTAGTCCTACTACATACACACAGGTAGGTGTACAGTTTTGTATTGATTTGCGCATAGGAATACACACACATGCGTTTAAGCTATGGACATGGTTTCTTATCACCTCACCACAACCTGCGGCAACACACAAGCACTCAAACGCGTATAACGCAATCAGCACCTGCATTCTATAGTGTGAGATTGAACCAATTCATTTCCTTATATATAGCTGAATAGGACAGGACGTGTATGTGATATATATATAATTCATTTTCTTATAAGTATGACATATATATGAATTCATTTTCTAGTAAGTATGACATATATACATGAATTCATTTTCTTATAAGTATGACATACATATATGAATTCATTTTCTTCTATATAGGTGAATAGATGGGAGATCAGGACGTGTATGTGCCTTATTTATAACCACACACCTTACTCTCACAGCCATACACACCTGTTTGCTCTACACATACACCATACTCTTAGCCACCACCGGGAAGGAAGTATATGAGGTGGTGTGTGACTATGACACAGCAGCTGTTCACGACACCTCAAGGGTGCACACCCCACTGTAGCGAATGAATGCGGACGGCTTTAGTATACTGAGATCACCCCGACGCCTCAACAGAAGCATGTGAGAGCTCTAAGGACATGTGTGTATATGTATTGCAACACACAACACCTTTCCTCTATACACCTCCACACACCTGGTACACGCCACCTCATCTCACCTCCAGGACGATTACGAGGTGGATCTAGGCTTAGGCACAGGCCCAGCTGAAGATACCACGAATGTGCGCACGCTAATGAGTGGAGAGGATGAGGGGGTGGATGCAGACGAGGTGCAGATAGAGGTATCAGACATGTGCCTGTATCTAGATGCGCACTACACGGTCTACTGTTTGTTTTTATATGTGTGTGAGTGAGTGTGTGTAGGTGTGTGGCTGTGTGCATGTATATATGTATGTACGTATATATATG